ATCAGCTGAAGCTGGGTAACAATAACTCACACTTATAATCCTAGCAAGAAAGAATTAACTGGAGGAGAAAGGGGTAAAGTAGTGCAGTAGTGCAGCTCACTAGACACTAATGAAAGGAACTATATAACTTGTGGGTGGAGACAGGAGGGAGGGACTGGGAGAGAATGAGGGAACAGAAGATACTGTACAAAAGGAAATGTGTTTATTACTTGACTGATGTAATATAATCCCACTGTACACAATCTTTATAATAACAATAAAGTAAATTAATTAAAAAGAATGAAAGAGAGTGGAAGAAAAAAGGAAGGAAGGAAGGTAGAAAGAAAAGGAAGGAAGGAAGGAAGGAAGAAGGAAGGAAAGAAGGAAGGAAGGAGAGGAAGAATGGAAGGAGAGGAAGAATGGAAGGAGAGGAAGAAAGGAAGGAGAGGAAGGAAGGAGAGGAAGAAATGAGAGGAAGGGAAAAAAAAGGAAGGGAAAGAAAGAAATCAACTCTTTTAAATCCCAGGTGGAAGTTAATGACCCTAGGGAATGTGAAGATCTCCAAGGTTTCACAATGTTTTTAAGAGTCTTCATTCTGGAACGTTTACTCCTCAGATACTCCTCTAAGAGATAGTTATCAGTCTTGTTGTTCCTCTTTCTCTGGCCTACCTGCTCATTCCATGATCCAGAGTAAACCCACATCTTATTTAATTTACCAAGGAAGCCCCAGACACCACCAAGCTCTACGTGATGACCAGTGAAGAGGCCCAGTGATCTCAGGATTCAGAATAGTGCCTTATATTCTCTCCCATCATTCTGTTGCTAAGAGGAGAATGAGATCTAAGAAAGTTATTTTGGAAAATACCCAACTAGTAGAGCATCACATCTAATCCAACTAAAATCAAACATAAGTTCTGCATTTCCTTACTAAATAAAGTCAACAAACATAATGACTGAAAATATCCTCGTTAGACCTTGTGTAGTGGGTATACTTTAGAGATTGGCATTAGTCAGGGGCAAGTTACAGATCATTATGTTCACAGGGTGTGTGTGTCTGACACTACAAAACCTATACAACCTCCCAATGTATTTATGGCAAGTTCTCACAACAAAAGAAAGATGGCAATATGAAAAGGTAGCAATCTATGCAAAAGTGGCCTCAGCTGGCAACAAGAACAGACTGGGTGCTGTGTCCTCCACTAAGTCACCTTAGCTTTGTAGATTTAAGAACTGCCTTTGATCAAGCACCCACCAAAGTCTTGCTTGTAGCTCTCTGGGACCTGTAGTCCATGGAACAGCCATGGAATCTTAGGCAGTGGTGTGTCACATAAGTATGCATATACCCACACAAAGTTGGCCCTAACAAATGAGCATCTGCACTGTAAACTTTTGAACCTTCATTCCCTAAACATAACCATGAAATTTTTAGAGGGCTCTATGCTAAATGCCCCAAACTTGTTTTTTTTTTGTTTTTCGTTTGTTTTTGTTTTTTTTTTTTTAACCAATGCAGCTCATCCTATGCCTACTATTCAGTAGCTTATTCTCTAAGAATCTTCAAAATTCCATATTCCACAACATAACTACACTCTCTCAGCTCCCTCGCAATAAAAACAGATGTTTAGATTCTGGAAGTTTTGATAATTGATGTCAAGTACCCCAGTGCTTTAAATACATTGAGATGTTGCTGGAAATGAGCAGGACATCTCTATAGAGAAGTGCTCAATCTATGGCTTCCTGGAAGCAGGGCTCCAGCATTGATGTAGCAAGACTAAAACCCTTCCATTTAAAGGAGTTCCTACTGTTCCATATCCTGTCCAGCCCAGAATTTCTTCCATTATCAAGTAGGAGTGCTCCTCAGGCAGTGGATCAGCTCAGCTTATCTGCTTAACCCTATACACAATCTCTCCACTCACCTCCATCCCTCCTATCTGCGAGGGATCAGGGCCAGCATCCTGAGGAGCTGTGAAAGACTCGGGTCATCCATTAATTACCTACTGGCTACCAACAAATAATTTATTTAAATTGGAAGAGGTCATGGCTTTTGGAACTTCACTTGAAATTTTAGATAGAAGACAGTGAAAGAAAGTCCAGAAGCTCCTGGGGTCCCATTGGATCAGTTCAAGCAACCTTTGGGTACCTCCTATTTTCCCATACATGCAATCAGAGAAGCTATATGTTTTATGGTTTAGGAATGTGCTCATGAATTACCTTTGAAAAAAATGTGTAAAATAAAAGGGACAGTGCCAAACTGTTAGGCTACAAATTGTAGTATAAATATTGGAACAAATAAAACCACACAGTATTTACTATCAAGCTGAGATAATAATAGCATCCAAAGACCATATCAGGATGTATTGAAGATTCTCAAAGGACAGGCTTTTGAAAAGGACAGGCTTTCCCCAAAAGATGTTTTGGGGAAAATAATAAAAGCCATTTAAAAAGAGACACAATTTCCTTTCCTTTCCTTTCCCCTCTTTCATTTTCTTATCTCCCCCTTCTTCTCTACATTCTCTTTTCATCTTGTCTTTATAGATAAGATGTAGAGGAAATAAAAAAGAAGAATATATAGATTATTAACAATGTGGAGTGGGACAGTTTGCCCAGGGATCTGAGGTTTTATGCAAACAGTGGCCTCTTTTTACTTGTGTTACAAGCCCACCTGTCTTAGTAGACAGTTGGGGTTTCCTGTGTGTGTGTGTGTGTGTGTGTGTGTGTGTGTGTGTGTGTGTAGAAGGGGGTTGTCTGGAACAGGTAAAGGATGGAGTTGTCTGTGTGTGTGTGTGTGTGCGTGCGTGCGTGTGTGTGTGTGTGTGTGTGTGTGTGTAGAAGGGGGTTGTCTGGAACAGGTAAAGGATGGAGTTGTCTTATTTCTAACACTCCAAGGTAGAGCCAGAAGCCAATGGTTCAAGCTTGTAATCCTGACTACTTATGAGCCTAAGATCTGAGGAACATGTTTCGAAGCCAACCTGGGCAGGAAAACCCATGAAATTCTCACCTCCAATTAACTATCAAAAAGCCAGAAGTAGAGCTGTGACTTAAGTAGTAGCCTTGAGCAAAGAAAACAACAGGCCCTGGGTTCAAGCCCCACGGCCAGTAACAAAAAAAAAAAACAAGAAAAGAAAATATCAATAAGGTAGTTCTAGGAGTGAGAGGAGGAAGGACTTCTCTGTAACATATTGAAGAAAACCTCAAGCCTCATTTTGCGAGTTAAGAGGAAGTCAATATTGATCAGTTTAATTTAGCCTATATCTTAATCATAAACTACCATTAATTGATTGAAAATCAGAGTAACTGTAAACAAAAGAAATGTTTTGTTATACCCAATAAAATCATGCTACAACACAATTTCTAGCACCTTAGTGAAAAACTGTGAATTAAACAACAGAAAGTATGACCTCCCCAATTAAGAGGGAAGAATAAATTAGGTTCCTTCTCTGCTTGATTTTCTGGTTAATATTACTTAATAGAATTATTTATCCTCCAGTTCTACTTGTTTTAGACAATTTATACTAGCTAAACTCTGCTCTTAATGGCTAAAAAAAATCTTTAAAATAAAATACTAAGTAAGTACAATACTGCTGTTGTATAATATGAATTTCAATGAAGACAGCTTGAAGTAGGATTATTTCTTTCAGAATAAGGTACTCCTCCCTTTCCAATACCCTACCCTAAAATAGAAAACACATGCATCACAACCACATATATATTATTTTTGAAAAAGAGACCATTTGGGCTGTGTTGAGGCTAATGAACAGAAATAGATTTTAGTCCTGGTCAACGCCTCAAACCGTCCATCAGGGTAAAATCGAAGATGTTTTTGGAATTAGTGTACAAGTAGACACACCCTATTTACCCTCAAACCTAAAACAGCTCTACACTAACTGGTGTTCCACATAGAGCAGCCCTGGAAAATTATCAAGGACAATTTACCTCCCATTACTTTTAATTCTGTAAACAAATAGTAGATGTTTAAACTTAAACAACACCAAGAATGAGCAGTCTGAATTCTTAAAATTCCAAAATACGGGGCTGGGAATATGGCTTAGTGGTGGAGTGCTTGCCTAGCATGCATGAAGCCCTGGGTTCAATTCCTCAGTACCACATAAACAGAAAAAGCTGGAGTGGTGCTGTGGCTCAAGTGGTAGATTGCTAGCCTTGAGCAAAAGAAGCTCAAGGACAGTGCCCAGGCCCTGAGTTCAAGCTCCAGGCCTGGCAAAACAAAAAACAAAAACAAAAACAAATTCCAAAATAGAACTAATTTAAAAGGAATGACAATGGATTTTATTTATATCTGTTTTGTTGGGGATAGAACCTAGAGCTTCATGATCTAGGTTGTTAGGGACAGAACTTAGAACATCATTGCTTTACCACTGAACTACACCTTCAGATCTGAAAACTAGGTATTTTTTTGCTTTTTTAGCTGGTCTAGGTCTTTACCTCAGGGACTGAGTGCTGTTCCTAAGCTTTTTTGCTCAAGGATAGCATTCTAACAGCTTGAGCCACAAAAGGCCCTTCTGGTCTTTTGATGAGTAATCAGAAATAAGAACCTCATGAACCTTCTTGCTCAGTCTAGCTTCAAATCATGATCTTCAGATCCCAGCCTCCTGTATAACTAGGATTAAAGGAGTGATCCACTAGTGCCTGACTGAAAATTAGGTTTTAAGTGGCCTTAAAATCTAGGGAGAACACAGCATGTGTTTATTCTTTACCATTTAGCCAAAGAATTTAGCTAACAATGCAATGGAACACAGAAAAAGAACACACCCTCTGCCAGGCCACAGACAGGGCGTAAATGTAAATTTGTACTGAGAACAAAATCAATACTGCCAGTAATCACAGAGTATACTAATGTCAGATAATATGACTGCCTTAATGACAGATAATATGTACAACCGCGACAGGAATGAACACAATGCCATGCACACACAATACAAATGAACTTATTATACACACACACACACACACACACACACACACACACACTACATAATTCACAATACAATTACCTCTCTCTTTCTTACCTCCAACATGGGTCTGGCACTATCATGGACAGAGAGAATGTGTGTCACCTTGTTCTTGCTCAATTGTTCCATGTCTCTGGCATCTGTCATTGAAGATAAGAAATGGACATTTTAATATTTCCTATGAATTAAGTGCTCCTAAATTCTAGGCAGGATACAATAAAGCATGACTGCTAGACTTCTTTCTTAGAACTTCATAATTGATCATATCTAGAATAATAATCTAGATTTTCAAAATTGAATGTTACTGTATTTATGTATTTATTTTATTGGATCATTTCTTATCCAAAGTATGAATTTAAAACTTTAAATATACTTATATTAATAAACATTGTATTCATTGAAGTTGTTAAAAGGAACCTCACATTATTTTTTAGTAGATTGTAAAGTTATAAACTGACCCATAGACCAGACATGAGATGCAGATTATAAAGATGTTTAAAATATTTTAAAACCCAGTTTCCTCTCAAGGATAAGTAATGTAAGTTTAAACTAAATGCCAAAGACCCACAGAGACACCTACAAGTATCTTCTTACCCTGTTATCAAAAGCAGACACAGTTCTAGACTAAGACAGGACTGTGGTTTCAGAATTGCTCATCAATGATCATTATTATGAAGCAAAAGAGATACCAAAATTATATTCCTTTCCTAGTTCCTACCTGTAAAAAGAATATCTGTGATGTGGTCCCTAAGTCATAAACCTTTGCTCACTTATGAAATGGGAACCTGGCAAGAAAGAAGGAAATCACCTTTCCTGTGTTGCTGGCCACACCAAATTCCTCAAAATTATGTAGGGCAAACTATTATTATAGAGTTTTTTTAAAAAGCAAAAAAACATGATAAAATGTACTTATTTTATCATGTTTTTAGGGAATATTTAATGACATGGAAAAATGCTCAGGTTATGTTATGCAAAGGGATATAGTAGATACTAAATCTAATCACAATATAAACTCAAATTGTAAAAACATATCAGGCCAAACACACATATTGAGGGGACTAGTATTTAGACTTATGAAGGAATGGGGTAACAAGTGACTTTTTCTTCATGTGTGTGTGTGTGTATGGCCTACATACATGGTTCTAAGAGTTTAATAAAGCCATCCGTAAGGGTTGTGTGAAAGGCCAATTGCTGGGCCTCAATTTATTTCCAGGACTACAGGTCTACAGTGGAATGAAATTTCTTTTTCTAAGAAGCTCTGAGGATGAAGCTGAAATTAGGAAATGGTGTTCTAAATATTTAACAATGTCAGGAAAAAAAGTCTTTAAAAGTAATATTAAATACTGGTCTTTATGTTAAGACTATTTCCCTTGCTCCAATCATACTGATCTTCAAATGCTAACATAAGTAGTAGTGATCATGCACAGGGCAATTCTTGTTTCCTACAACTACGACATTTAGGGTACTAGCCAAGCAACCTGTGAATTACCCAGTCCTATAATATGAATCTAGAATGTCTCAAAGGGCTATTTATGAAAGGCATGGTCTTCAACGTCATACAATTAAGACATGGTGGAGAACCTTTGAGAAATAGGGGCTAGAGGGAGGTTTTAGTTTACTGGGGGTGTGACCTCATCACAGGCCTAAAAGCACTGAGCCAGCCAATCACAGACCCCTGAAACTGTGAACAGAACTAAATACAAGAAAAGAAAAAAGAAATTTTGATTCATTGATTATTTCAGGAATTTGTTATAAGAAAAGAAAGCCAACACTGATAGGAATAAGGATTAAGATACCACAGGCAGCCAGTATCACCTTCACCAAAATGTGATTTTCCAATTGCCACTCTCAACAGGTAGTAAAGTAGGGGAAAGATAGCTTAGATGAGGTGGGTACCTCAGGGGAACAGATTCATGGTGATGCCCCAGGATTCTTCCAGATTCCCATTCTGCCAGGATTTGAATGATAATAATCCACAGTTGTCTATATACACTATCTGCCCTCCACGTGTACAGGTCCTGTATCCATAAAACATGTATAGACTTTTTCTTGTACTAATTCCCTAAATGATATAGTATTAAAACTATTTACATGGGTATTAATTAACAAGTAATCGACAGATGATTTAAGGTATATAAGAGAATATATACAATAGGTTCAATACAAATACCATTTTATATAAGAGATTTGGTGGTGTAAGGGAACCAGTTTGTTTTCTGTTGGAACCAGTTCCCAACAAATATCAAGGAAAATGTACTTACTGTATGTTTTTATACGACAGTTTGTGAAGTATAATTCACATATGATAAAAATCCCCCCTTTGAAGTGTACAATTCAATAGCTTTTAGCACATTTATGTGACCATCATTACAATCTAATTTTAGAACATTTTCATCTCCCATGAAATACAATTTTATAACAGATTAACATCTTTTTTTTTTTTTTTTTTTGCCAGTCCTGGGCCTTGAACTTTGGGCCTAGAGTGCTGTCCCTGAGCTTCATTTTGCACAAGACTAGTGTACTACCACTTGAGTCACAGCTCCACTTCTGTCTTTTTTGAGGAGTTTATTGGAGACAGAAGTCTTACAGACTTTCTTGCAGATTAACATCTTAAAAGTTAATCTAAGGATTAAAATTATATATTAAAAAGTAAAGACAACCACTGGATATCACACATGAGTTAACAGACTGTTGGACTCCTGAGAAAAGGGAAGCAAACCCTGGGCTAGTGCTGCTTTCCCGCCTGCATACTTTCTGTTCCCTCAGAGTGCCCATCTGTGTGGATGTGCAATTTGGGATTACCCTTTCCCACAAAATACAGGCTTGTGTGCAGATTGGAACGTGTAAGGATTATCAACACTTCCTTGCTTCCTTGTCCATGTTTCTTGAGTATTAAACTAGCTCTGCACAGGCTCCTCCAGCTGGTACCACTTAGCTTTTTGGAAATTTCCAGGTCCATTCATACCTACTAAATGATTAGAATCTATATTTTATTAAGGATCTCTGAAGACACATATTGGAATATAATAATGAAATTCCCCTCCATATTTTAAGGTTTTTTTAAAAGTTATCTACACCCTACTCATGAAGCCCAGGATGGGCTGAAATGGATGACCTATAACCTTGAACCCAAGAAAGTTCTCCTTCTCAAATGCTAATGCTAATTGCCAGAAAACCATCCTGAGTCCTTGGTGATCATGAGATCATAGACTAAATGAATAAAACTAGTACAGAGACATGTGCTGATACGTTGGCATGATCACCTCAGAATGTAAGATCATAGGAAGTTTCATTCTCTTTAACATTTTTTTTTTGTTTTACTGATCATCTCATGTTAGTTTTATGTGCTTGTGTTTGTATGCACACACACACACTGATAATAAGACTCAAATGCAGGGCTTGGGCGCTATCTCTCAGCTCTTTTTCCCAAGGCTAACACTCTATCACTTGAGCCACAGCTCTATTACCAGCTTTTTGGTGGTTAACTGGAGATTAATGTCTTATACTTTCCTGTCCAGGGCTGGCTTTGAACCATGATCCTCAGATCTTAGCCTCCTGAGTAGTCAGGATTATTGGCATGAGCCACTAGAAGCCAGCCCATGTTACTTTTACAATCAGGAAAACAATAGTGCTTTCAAATACAAATGCATTTATAAGTGAATAAATACTTCATTGGCAACTTCAAATCATATTATTTTCCTCTCTACCAATCCTTCCCCTGGTCCCTGGACTCTTGATCCCTCCTGCCTTCTATTTTGTTTACCATGGAGGACCTGTGAAACAAATGTCTCCTTCACACAAGTTGAGCACTGGGACAACAAAATGTATCTGTCTATTCCCTCAGGGTCATCCATTCCCTTCCTGGCTCACAAGTTCCCAAGAACACTACTGAGACCTCACTGGTAGAGCCTGTGGCTTTGCAGGAAAATGTGGTTCTTAAAGGGCAAAGTAAAACCACATGCTTACTAAGGGTGAGAATCAATACTTTCCTTCTTATGATCCCATGAAGAATGGCAGCACCACATCTAAGGTGTAAGAATGCTGGAGTGGCCACAGAAGTCAGCAAAAGCCAAGCAGAGATGAAATAGAATTAACAAAAGTAGCTAGGTTATGCTGATGTTGTGAAGCAGTAATCCTAGTAACTCAGGAGGCTGAGATCTGAAGATCACAGTTTCAAAGCCAGAAAAGTTGACAAGATTCTTATCATCAATTAACCACTAAAAGGCCAGAAGCAGAGCTGTGGATCAAGTGAAAGAACCTTAAGCAGAAAAACAAAGAGATAGTAGCTGAGCCCTGAATTCAAGCCCCAGTTCTGGCACAGAAAAAGAAAAAGCATATTAGAGCATTAGAACTATTTGGCAGTGCCTTTCAAAGCACCTGCAACAATGCTTCAGGTACCTGGGGTTGCCAGGAAGGATAGAAGGAGAAGAAACTGCAAGGTAAAGGAAGGATGAAAGAATTATATATGTAGTTCTAGTATTTATGTAGCCGTCCCATCTGATGTGTTCTGAACATTAGGCTATTTCAAGTCATTTGGAGGCAAATAACTTTACCTCTAAAGTTGAGAATGTGCTGATGGACAGGAAAGAGTTCAATCATGTTATGCTCTTCTTCCCATTAATAAATTAATTTAATAACAACTATAGTTCCTATGCATTATAACATCTAGTTATGAATTCATTGCTTATGGGTTCGACATGTTTTGCTGTACCTCATTTTTCTGAGCTGTAGAGTGAGAAGAACAGTAAGAATATCCCCAAGGTATGGTAGCAACTGAATGATAAGAGCATGGCCCAGTGCCTGGCATGTGGTAAATATGTAATCACTGTTATCATTTGTTAAGGTTTGGATGTGGCTTGCCTTTCAAGGGTTTATGTGCTAGAAACGTGTTCCCTAGTGTAGTGGTGCTAAGATGGGGGAACCTTTTAAGAGACATGACTTAGTAGCAGGTAATTAGACCACAGGAAACTTCTCTTGGGAAAGATTAGTTCTGGCTTGGGGGAGTGAGTTAGGTCTCCAGAGCCAATTTTTATAGTGAGGCCCCCTCATATATTAGGGCCATATCTCTTCCAGATTTCTCCCAATTTCTCCATCATGTTGTGATGCAGGCAAGGGGTCATTGTCAGGATGCTGGCACCATGCAATTGGTCTTCCAGAATCACTTGCTGAATAAATTTCTTCTCATAAAATACCCAGACTCAGCTCTTTTCATATAGCAACACCAAACAGACTAAGCCTTAAGGTTGTGGAATGGACATGTGTCACTGCTGTTTCAAAATCCACACTTACTACAATAGTACTGGAACCTACTCTCCTCCACCTGACAGCCACGATATGTAAGATCTCCCAGGTTAAGCTGACAGCACCACTTCACATTCAAGGACTCCACCCCATCTGAACCAACAGGACCCCATTAACCCAAACTTCTGTCTCACTGGCAGATATGGAACTAAAGCTCTGAGACCTTGAATATCCTCTCTATGCACAACACTACAAATACAGTGCTTGAGCTTGTTCTCATTCCTCTGGATTTTTGTGGACATCCTCAAACAATGAGAGCTTCCTCTGACAGCTGACACCCATATTTACCTGTGCCAAATTGTAAAAAGCAAAGAACACCACCTTCCAGCCTAGAAGGAAGAGGCTCTTTCCTGCTCCTTCCTCCCCTTCCTATTAAATCTCTGGGCAGAGCTAACTACAGAATCATGCAACTAAGGAGCTTCCAGTAAACTATTGAAGACTTGGTTCCAAAAACCATTGTTGGGGGAGGGGGGGGTAGGGAAGATCATCAAATATTAAAAAACTACTATAATTACAAAGTTGGGGAAATATGTCCTAAGAAGCTGCAAAGCAACATGTAAAGGATCCCACTAGAAGGAAAGAGAGTTGGGAAAAGGGAAAGAGGAAGAATATATGAAGGGAAGACAGGAAGGAGGGCAGAAAGGACAAGAAGAACTATTAATAGGAAGGGAGGAGAAAGATGGGACAGAAGAAGTGACTGTTCATTTTTATTTATGCATTTCTAAGCTGATTCTTGTATTAAAATTGTTTAGTTGCAACTTAAAGAAGAAAAGTAAATAAATAAAGGAGATGAATAAAAGAGAGGCCGTGTTAAAGTGTACATGTCAGCGACATTCACTTCCCTAAAGGAAGAGGTTGCTATCCTTGCTCACATATACTTATTATAGACTTGGCAAGGTGCTTCAGGAATATCTACATTGCTCTCAAGACAGCCCCAACCCACAGCAAGGGGATCAGACATGACATTAAAATGGCACTGCCTTCGCCAGGTACCAACCACTGAGCATGACCTCACTAGTTGGGTGGTCCACACCATGGCTCAACTTGTTTATCTGTGAAAATATCATGGCCTTGTGATCTTCCTGAGATTTCAAGACAAGACATTCAACATGTTCTCTGCTCTTCAGCTGTATTCCTGTGCAGAACCTAACCTGGATTCTGACCACCTGTGGATGAGGACACTTGTTTACATGACATGCTCCCAAACAAGCTTGTAGAAGGAATGAGCAGGTTAATGCCAACAAAACAGTTGCAATGCTTACTCTCCTTTCAGCTTCTTGTCAGTACACTGCATGATCATTCTTTTCTTTTAGATAAGCCTTGCACATGATGTTTAATACATGTCTTGTGAATCAATGACTGTATGACTACATACTAATATCAGAAAGAAACAGCAAACATGGACCATATGCACAAGGACAAGTTACAGTTGCTTGCAATGAAACTCTAACAGATGAAACCACAAAGCAAGAATTCTGGAACTGTGAAGGGTTCTTATGACATTGAATATTTAGAAGACAGGTATGGATTTCAATATTAAGTTTCAGCTATTTTCTTCATGCTTACACAATGCTCTTTAAAAAAAGGTAGCATTCTCTGAGTCAAGTTAAAACTCATATACCATTGGCAAAAGTACTGAATGTGGTCAACATTTATTAAAATACTTTCCAACTTTCTTTACCTAGCAATTCTTTGTCAAAGAATTTATCTAAACTTTTGTTTTCAAACCTAAAGATACCTCCCACAAAAACAGTAAATTTCATGAAAGCACTAACTCTAAGAGATTTGTTCTGTTATTATATCCTAGCACCTCTCAAGCTACCTATCCCAAAGCTTACTAATTTAGGAATTCCAGTACCCTTTTAACTATGTTGTAGAAGCAAATAAGAGCTATTAGCTCTCTATGCTCAATTCTCCGAGACCAATTATCTATGGATAGAAAGGGTAAAGGAAAAAGACAAATATTATGTGGAGAAATCTTGATAACTATTTGGAAGGTCAATCTGAACCTAAATTCACAAATTCAAACAAAAACCTCACAACAGATAGGAATGGTCTTGACTAAACTTCTAACATATACATATACGTATACCCATATATATATATGCATGTGTACACATATACATATGTATAACATATATAAATGTGCATTAATATATGTATGTATACATGGGTATAGATAAATGCATGATGCATGTACATACATAATATACATGTGTGTGGATAAGGCTTAATTCTTTCCAACACAATGTGACAGAGTTTACTACAATTTTCCTAGGTCTGCTATCCTATTAATTGCATCTCATCTCAATGTTCAGGAACCACTGTTTTCACTGTTTTCTCAAACTTGGAATGCCATACAGCAGGAGGACTAGCCTCTATACACTCAAAAGGCCTATGATCATCATCTGATTTGTTCAGTGGATAAGGAAAAGTCAATAGCTGACTTCAAATCACTAAATACTGAATAATCATAGGGTGAGAAGTCAACACTAGCATAATCTATTGTAGTGGAAACTGCCACTTATATTTCCTGATTATTAAAAAAGGTAGGCTTCTAAAAAAAAGTAGGCTTCTGAAAATTTGCCATCAATAAGTAAGTCAAAAGTGGGAAAAGAGAGTAACTATGTTATGTGTTTGCTAAATGTGCCTATTACCCACCATCTTTGATAATAATAGTCCAGCAAGCATAGGGAGTTAATAGGTAAAGTTGGAGCCTAGGTATCCTTACAATTAACAATGGGAAGAGTGTCACGGCATGGGTGAAAATGGTGGCTATTTGAAGAAGAGACATGTGCAGACAGGAGTCTATACTCTGCCTGTGAATCTCATAGGAGAAGTCAACTCTTTAAAAAATGAATTCACCCTTTGTGGAAACAACTCAAGTGTTCACCAGTAGAGAAATAGAAAGCAAAATGTGGTCATGTTAAGTTTGCTTTAAAAAAGGAAATTCTGACATTTGCTACAATGTGGATGAAGTCAAAACATTATGCTTAGTGCAACAGTCCAGTCATAAAAGGACAAATGCTGTATGATTCATAATGCCAAGGCAGGGCAGTAAGGAGTTGGTGTTTAATGGTGCAGAAGTTAAATTTGGGAAGAGGAAGATGTTTATGACAACACAATTTGTTTTTTTTTGGTCGGTTGTGGGGCTTGAACTCTGGGCCTGAACACTATCCCTGAGCTCTTCAGCTCAAGGCGAGCACTCTACCACTTGAGCCACAGTGCCACTTCCGGTTTTCTAGTGGTTTATTGGAGATAAGAGTCTCATGGACTTTCCTGCCTGGGCTGGCTTTGAACCATGATCCTCAGATCTCAGCCTCCTGAGTAGCTAGAATTACAGGCGTGAGCCACAGGTGCCCAGCAACAGCACATTTTATGCTGTGTATATTTACCACTAGAATTAAAGAGAGAGAGAGAGAACTCACCTTTGAAGTTGCCAATGTACAGACCAGGCAGAATCTAGGAAAGAAACAGAGACATGAGTATCACATTCTCAAAGCCCATGCTTTTGTTAGCACAGAGGTAGAAACCCCAGCCTAGCATACTTTAGCAAAGTGTAGGCACTTTTCCTGGAAGGGGACAGAGAATCCCATTTATATGCTCCGGTCCATACCTGGCCACTAGAAAACTTGCTCAGAGAGTCTTTGGAAAGATACAGAATATGTGCTTCAAGTTACTGAGCATAAGCTAGAGATGGTGCTCCTGAGCATTCTGAGAACCCACCTTACCCATCATATACTTCTTTCAGCCTTGTTATACTTTGTCCTCTGCTGTTGAAGGTCGATGGGCATGCTAGGTTTGCTTCTAGGTGGGCCAACTGCTAAGTCATCCCTGGGGAGGTATTTTCTGAGCTCTAAGCATCTAGACCATTAAGCAGTGTGGTAGCCAGATATAAGTAGGTCTGTCTTTCTGCTGGGTTAGAAAGCTACTTTGGCAGGTACACCTTCCTTAGCTCCAGAGAAAATGACCATTGAGTTGCTGCATTTATGAATTGTACAAATATACACAAATGAAGAATAGACATTTGCTCCAGAACATCTACATATGGCAGTGGTTCTCAAACCAGATATCCACTAGAACCCCAGATCCTGTTAAAAATAGATTTTTAAGTGAGCATCAGTGGCTTATGCTTGTAATCTTAGCTACTCAAGATACTGAAATCTGAGCATCACAGTTTGGAGCCAGCCCAGGCAGAAAAGCCCTTGAGACTCTAGTCTCCCAATCAATCATCAAATAGCCTGAAAAGGAGCCATATTTCAAGTGGTAGAATATCAGCCTTAAGTGAAAAAGCTAAGAGATAGTGCTCTAGTACTGGCAAAAAATAAACCAACAAATGCCTGGCCACTAGGAACTTTGCTTAATTTCCCCACATGGAATGTTTAACAGAACTGAGATGCAAACTGAGAACAGTATTTTTCACAAGGACCCCATAATTTGCAATGTTCCAAGGTATCTTCTCTTTGTAATACTGGTGTTTGGAGTCTGAACCTTGAACATGCAAGGCAAACACTCTGACACTTGAGCTAACTCTCACCCCGAGGTAATCCTTATTTTGCCAATCCTTTGTATGGACACTGTAAAATCCATATATGGACATACACTAGAAGTTAAAAATATACTCACATCCTCACTGCCATGATTTCCAAGTGCATACCTCTCACTGGCTTCACAGAGGTCTTGACTGTACCTTCCTGCTGGCTTGTGTATGTCCCTATTTTTGTCTACTCCCATTGAGAAAACCTGTGTCATGACAAGTAGCCTGTGTCATGTTTTTACATGCACTGACTTTGTTAGTCATCTTTCTGACAACTAGCTGCTTTGCTACAAACTGCCAGCATGTGTTGAATCACTGCAGAGGCTCTGTTGTCATCTGTCAGAATTGCAGGGTTAGACTCTGTACAGACATATAGAGGTCATAGCATGCATAGATCAAACCAGAACAGTTCTGGGAGTGAAAAGAAACACTGTTAGTAATTACTCCAGGACAACTGGCAAAACCCAAGTGATATGAGCAGGGGACAATAATCACCCTAGCTGCCTTAAAATGTGGGGGTACCTAGAAGGTGTCTCATGGGCTATTAAGGTCATTTATTGCCTTGATGAAGTTGCAGCAGGAAGCAGGAAAGTCTCTTTCTTAGCTCTGTAGCTAAGAAAAGGTGAGACCATATCTCAGGGAGAAAGAGCACTAGCCACTGCTAATAAACACTTGGCAGGTGTTTTTTGAAATCGTATTTCTTGAAATATAATCAATTTGTAAGGTCTCCTAGGAGAAAAGGTAGATAATTCATCATTCCTGCTTTAAAAGATAAACAATGCGAGTTCATCTTAAGAGATGGATCCAGTTGTTCTCTAGTAGTTCTTGGCCACCTGAAACTTTTTCACATGTGGCTGAGCACTTATCAAGGCCTCCTCTATGACATTAGTTACTAAAGAACATAAGACACTAGAGATTGTTTTTGGCTGATAGTGACAAAGACTCTCTGATCAAACAACAGACAAGTACCTGGGAACTATATTCCACTAGGCCTGGTCCGTAGTGCACATTGTTCCAAGTAAAGAAAGAATTCTGCTAAACTGGGTTATAATCTACACCTCTCCCCACACCTTTTGGCTTCTCTTCCTCCACCCTTGATAATATAAACTTCCTTTTAATGATGTTTCATTTACTCACTCCTGACATACTGACAGCTGAATTCAATCCCCCTATTACACAGACTTCAATAGTCTTCCTTGTCATCTTTAACAAGTACTAGAATAGTATATTTTTGGTAATGACTGCAAATAACTTTATCTCCATATAGATGATAGTTATAAAGGCAATGTGACCATTTATTTGCCCAATATAATAGCCATTACCATATCCACCCCTATGAAGGATACCAAGGGAGAGGACTTGAAAGGTAATTGGACATTTTTGTTTAGATGCTGTGTGCAGATTCTACTTCAGTTTGCCTTAAAAAATAAACAGGGATCATTTGAGGAAAAGATCATAGCTCATTTTTTGTTTTTCTTCTCTGTATTTCTACTGCTTTGCTATTAAACATGAGCTAATATAGGTTGCATTATTTTTAGACAAAAATAAAATTAGGGCATGAGAGCACAACACTTATGAGCCCTAGTGCTCCAGTCTATGACTTTATGACTTACAAAAACACTTGGGAATGCATCTTTAGTCCTGTCTTCAACTCTCTTCTGGAAGCTTGAAACATCCGATTATCTTCAATTTCTCTTGCCTTTATGGTACTGTCTTCCAGCCTTTATGGTACCTTCTTCCAATCACCTCAAATAGAAAACCTGGAACCTATAAGCACAGTGGTCCCTGACTTCTAACTCCCTACCTTTACCTATTGGGCAAGTATTTCATATCTCTCTCTTCAGGCTGAGTCCGGAACCCCAATTAGTAGCCACTGGACATATTCTCTGTTGCATCAAATAAATGTTCTGAAGTCATATTCCACTGCATTATTTCCAGATCAAAATGTTAATGGGAAACCCCTTCCTTAAGAAAATAAAGACCAAATATTTCCACCAAATATTGAGCATGGCTTCCACAGTGTAACAGCTTTCTGTTGCTGTGACAAAATAGCTGAGATAAACAACTTGAAAGGAGGATTAGAGTTTTCAGAAGTTTTGGTTCATGGTCACTTTGTCCTATCATGTTGGGTCTGTCGAGTATATTATGTCATGGTGGAATCAAAGTATAGTGGAAGAGGTCTGTTGACCTCATGTTGCCTTCAAGGGCATGCCTTCAATAACACCACTTTCTCCAAAAGTTTTCAATTTCTCAATAGCACATGGAGATCAAGCCTTTAAAGAGACATTTGAATTCTAAGCCACATACACAAGATATTTCCAAATCTCTCTATTTTTGTCCGTCACGGGGCTGCTTAAACTCAGGGCCTGGGTGCTGTCCCTGTGCTTTTTCAGTTAAGGGTAGTGCTCTACCACATTAAGTAATAGTGCCACTTCCAGTTTTTTTGGTGGTTAATTGGAGATAAGAGTATCACAGACTTTCCTGCCTGGGCTGACTTTGAACCACAATCCTCAAATCTCAGCCTCCTGAGTAGCTAAGATTATAGTCATGGGTCACCAGCACCTGGCTTTCCAAATCATGTCTAAAGGATTTCCCTCTTCGATGTCATCTCTAGCCAAGTCCTACTTTCCTAATACCTCTTACTGGTCTAATCTTGCCATATCACTTTTTCTTGCTCCCAAGAGTTTCTCACTGTCTGGAATTCATCAGCACTTAGGCATGTCTAAAAATTTTAAAAATTATTATAATAGATATTTCTGTTTATTCGTTTCCAAGGTTCTGAAGCCCTTTCCTAGGTTTGGGGAACCATGTTCCCCATTTTCCCTTAGGAATTTTGGTGGGAAATATACCCCGCTCTTACTACAGAGGTGGCAAGATACCAAGCAATTACTTACATAAGATTTTTCAGTTCTGGCCTAAGTGTGCAACTCAAGGGTAACAGATCACTTCACTTGCTGCAAACAATAATCCAGAAATATTTAGAGCATCCTTTTTTTTTAACAGCAGAGGCAATGAGTTGGTGGCACATTCAACATCAACTGGCTATGATATCCACATTTTGAGGCAACCCCAGAAATATTCTCTCTTATCCTACAGCTTATGAAATCTGCTCTAGGCAGAGTAGTCTGAATCTTATTCACCAGCTTCCTAGTCATCTGCCCAGTTTACCTAAAAGAGCTGCATCTAGATTCTCCTGCTTATAACCAAGATCCCTGGTATAGACTTTCTACTTGAAACAAAAAGGCACAGATGTGGCAAAGCTACCCAGACCTTGAGGTGAGTAACAGGTATGACACCCATTCTCATTCTACTTCTGTCAACAAAGGCCTCTCCACCTTGCAATAAGCACCTCAGATGGCACTCTAGCACATTGGAAATCACCATGACCAAAAAGGCTCTTTCAGTCTCTGGTCATTCCTGTCTCATTAATATTTGCATCTATGCCTCAATAACTGTTTTTGAGATTTAGTGTGTTACCTTTGCTCTGCTTCTTAGTATCTCCCCTCTGAATTTCTATACCACTGAACTGCTTTATTCTAGTCTTGTTCTTCCAAAGAACCCTTTGAATGGTCTCTATCCTATATAAAGTTAACTGTGTGATTCTTGAGCTTCATTCTTTTCAAGGCTGTAAACAGCTTTCAACATGAAATATAAATCTGTGCCTTGGCAGTGACCCAGATTGAGCCTCTCATGTTCTTATTCTCAGCCGCTGCCCAAGTGCTTTCTCCAACCTTATCCACATTTGAGAAGTTAACCCTGATACAATGGCTAGCATGGCCATATGGAGACACAGAAAGGAGCCCCCAAATGTCAGCATTCAGGTTTTATGGAAAATAGGCTGATTTTTGAAAATACATTTTAAATCAAATTGCTCATATATTGATATAAACCAACAAAATACATCTGAGTGCTGATTATGGCCTGT